TATTAATTTAAAATAAAAGCTTAATAATTACTATTAAACTAAGCTAGCTTGTGTAATGGATTAAGGGTATAATAATTATATAAATCATATCAAATAATTATAAAAAATAATCATCTCTAAAAATCAGACAATTTTATCTTTAAAAATGTTTTACTATGTAGCATCCTTTAATTTGGAGTAAGAGAAACTGGGGGAGTGGCTTTATTGCGTCAGACCAGGTGTGCCTCACACGTCCTGAAAAGTGAAGCTGCGGGCTCTTTGATCGCCCCCTAGTGGCTGGCTGCAGTACAGGTCATAAACCCCACCCTCTCCATGTAAACGCATGGGAGTTGAGTCAAAATAAAAAAATTAATTACGCTTCCAGTACAATTTTCTGAAAGATGGTTTTGGTCATTTAAGGTAGTTGTTATCACGCTGATATATGTTAAATTGTTTGTTTTTGTGATAAGTTTGATTTTAGCTAGTAATTTGATGCTATAAAAACGGGGTGTGTCGTTATGGTTGATTGGGTCTGCGGGAGTTTGGGCGGGAGTTTGATACCGCGGCTCCACCTCACGACTCTACTGCGCAGACTCTGGCTCCAAACGAATCTCTACTGCGCAGACTCTGGATCCAAATGACGTCATTTACTCAAGATGGCAGCGGCCATACTGAGATGCTTTGGCTTCACTTTTCTATAGTGGAAGGAATAGGAGACGCGTCGTCCATCTTTTTTTACAGTCTATGTGTCAGACATGTGTCACTTTGCTTGAAGCTGATTGGTCAAATTTTGGTTTGAGATCTCTAAACCAGAACATAACCTGCCCCGGAGTAGGTTAGCTGTGGAGTGTAAGTTACTACAGTGATGAACACCATTAAAAGCCAAGCCACATTCATGGTACCTAAAACCCAGGATTAGTGCAAACTAAACTGAAATTTACCTGGCTAGCCAGCTAATCCGGCTTCACGGTACAGGCCCCAGGTTTTCTGTGATTTTGGGAAGCCTGACATTTCTATTTTGATGGGTTAAAGAGTTGAAAACAAAACTACTAACTAAATTAGAGCAAACTGGCATTACACCAGAGGGTGTCACTGGAAAGGTTTATTGTAAAAGCGGTGGCAATTGTTTTGCAATTTTGAGCCTTAGATCTTACCTAATAAGAGTGAGACGGTCCTTTTCTGATGGATGGTCATCCAGCCATTGAGAATAGCGAGAGATTGACCACTCCGCTCTCTGTTTATAAGGGAAAGCAAGCAGTATTAGTGGTACACAAGAGCTATACAAATCCGCCCATGCTAAAGCTATTTTAGAGAACCCTCATTTTATAAAATGGCTAAAAATATCTTCATCTTTTCCAGTTTGAGCACTCAAAATGAAATGTGTCATTTAGCAGAAGCTTTTATCTAAAGCAGCTTACAGTAGGTCAATCACAGGGACAGTCGCGATGGGGCAACTTGAGGTGAATTGCCCCGCTCAAGGGCATAATAAACAGGATCTGGCCTCAAAAACCTTTTGCTCACTAACACCCAAACCTAAAACCTCAATCCTTGAGGATCTATAACCAAGAGGTTTTCATCTCTCCGCATTAGTGCGACTGTGTGTGTGTGTACCTGATGTGGTGATTTGAGTTCAGCCGGGGCACGAGTGAACAGGAAATGCAATATGGTGCTGTATGGAATCAAATCTCCCAGCGCTTGACTGCTAGCGATGTGCTCACTCGTTTGAAACAGCAGTGGTCTGAAACAGAGACAGACAAATATATTCATATTCACCGGGAATCACAATCCGGGTGTAATTTAGAGCCTGAAATGAATGCTGAAGATTTGAAAGGTAGGTGCATATGAAAAAAAACGTCAAATAAAATTCACCAAATGTCTGTGACATGTTAAAGTGGAGCTCATATGACGTCCTCCAGCGGGTTCACAGCAGATATCTACTCGCTGCTGACAAGATGCAAATGACATTTCAGTAACAAAAAAAGTCCCAGTTTCAGTCTAATCTTAGATTTATTTTTGTGCTATGCAGTGCTTGAATACAATATAAGATTGTAGAGTGAATCTTATTTTAAATCATTTTAACTGCACCACTATTTTCATAAATGGAAAACAATGCAAGTCTATGCTTTTTTTTAATACGTATTTTCTCCTCGCCAACCAAAAATCATACTCTCAACTAACCAATCATCTCTTCTCAACAAACTGCGGTAAGTACAACTTATGCAGTACTTGAATACTGTATAATGAGATTGTAAAGTGAATCTGATTATATTATGAGTTTTATTAAAAAAAGTGGAAAACAATGCAAATCTATGCATTTTTTATACATGTTATCGTTCACCAGCCAGAAATCACACATCCAATCACTTGCTGTAGGTAAGTAAAAACTGCGGTAAGTACAGATGCAATATGAGATCGCAAAGTGAATCTTATTATATTATGAATCTTATTTTAAATCATTTTAATTGCATCACTATTTTCATGAATGGAAAACAATGCAAGTCTATGCATTTTATACATTTTATCATTCACCAGCCAAAATCATATATCTGATTGCTTGGGTAAGTAAAGGCGTTGTAAGTAATAGTGTAACCAGTTTTGCTCAGCCAGCAATAAAAGCAATACACTAACAAGAATGCAGAAGACAGAAGCCTCTACAATAGTAATAGTAGTACTGATACTTCCATAGCAAACATCCTTTTCATATGCAACCCCAAGTCAAAAAAGGAAAGAATCACAAGATACTTCATGAATCAACTCAAAATTTAAACTGCATGTCTACTGTAGAGGGTAACTATGTCCCTGTACTCTATTAGCTGAGAGGCTATATTTAATCAAACAAGCTTATGAGTATGGAAAAAAACTAGGGCTGTGCGATATGGACAAAAAAAAAACTATCGCGATTTCGTTTTTAATCACGATTTTGACACACACAGACATGCTTTACAGTCATTAATGCATTCAGTGTGAATTTGAAACATATTTCCAAAAGAAAACCAATTAGAGCTTTATCAAAAAGCTGTAACATGTCTCTAGAACAGATATAAGGCAAAATAATCACTAAGTAAAGGTGTAACAAAATGTCTATGTATATGGCAGAAAAAAGAAAAAAAAAATCCCGCGTCCAGGGATTTTTTTTTGCCATGCATTGGTGGCGTTGCCTCAGATGTTGAACTAGATTTGTTGCGCCAAGTTCACACGTACTCCGTCTGCAGTGCGTATACAGCAGCACGGACTCATTTTGCTTTCGCACAGGACGCGTTTGCAGTCCGCTCCTGATCCGCGGCTGTTTACCACACCCAACATTTATCCATTATTTTGATTTCAAATCCAAACGTTGTTTCTGAAAATGCTTTTTCAACATTGTG